CCAGCCAGGAAGACGGTGCCGGTTCCGTGGGCAAGGCTCGGCTTGCTTTGCCTGCCACCACCTGGCTAGAACCGCCCCCCTCTCCGTGATGGCAGCTGCCCCAGCTGCAGGGCCTCACGGCATTATTAACCAGAGGGGTTGCCGTGCCGGTCCCTCACTCCCTACTTGCTTTGGAACTACTGCCCTCTTCAGATTAGTTATGACCCAGCACCAGCAGCCGTTTCAACTGTGCCATCTCGCCGTCACCGGGAAGTAAGCACTGCTAGATTTTCACGGGGAGGTCCAGTTACTTTGCTCTCATTTCAAAATGCAAAGGTCTGCTAAACGGAAGAGCCCTGTGGTGACACAGCAGTTACTGGGCGAGGGAGAGGCAGTGAATCAGTCAAATAACCCCTCCACGGCCCTGAGAGGTTTGGCCACACTGCAGTTTGGATGTCATCTGCTCCTCACAGCCGCCTTGAGGCTGGGCGTGGCCACCTTAACCAAAGTGCTCTGGAGAGGAGCTGGCTGCAAACGCTCTTTTCTCTGCCTGTGACTCAGTAAGTGTCCCCGAGCTAGAAACTTGAGATGCTCATCCATGCCCTCTTCCGCTGGGTGGCCAAGAATCTACCTTCTTACTGTTGCTTTAGCCGGTCCCCTCTCTGTCCCCACTGCTGCCACTCTGCTTTGGCTCTGTCATCTCATTCTTTTATTCTCTCCACAAATATTTGTTGAGCTGCAGTGGTTCCCACAATAAGAGCCAAGATGCATTGGGAAAGGAGACATTGAGAGCACTGCTCGTGAAGTCACTTAATGCACAGAATTAAGATAAGACGATGCAGCAGGCAGAGGCCAGGTGGACAGAGATGAACCGTGAGGTGAGCAGTCAGCTGAGACCTAAACAACAGGAAGGAGCCAGCTGTGCAGAGCTGGGGGAGAGCGCTCCAGGCAAAACGCCTCAGGCAAGAATGAGTCTGGAGTTCTGGGGAAAAGAGAGAGGAGGCCAGTTAATGCAGCACACACCCACAGACTCCTGAATCCGAAAACGCTGCGATGCGCCCATCACTCAGGGCGGTGGGCGGGAGCCATCCTCACCAGGGTCTCACACTGAGTCTAGCAAGCACCCACTCTGGCCGAGCCGCCCTGAGCAGCCTCAGTCCCTTTCGATCCTCTGATCCTCACAGCAGCTCTGAGAGGCACCACCATCCCCATTTCACAGATGCGAGTGCTGTGCTCTGCTCTTCGCTTCCCAGAGATGGATCGACAGAGCTTTAGGAATCGAAACAGAGCCGTCCCCCCTCTGCAGGCGCTAGCAGAGCCCAGGGTTTGATGCTTTGTGGTGGGGAAGCCTCAGCAGAGCCACTCGGGGGGCAGCAAACCCATTACCGGGCCCCCAGGGCCCATGGAGGCAAATACCTATTTACAAAAGTTCTAGTGGCCTCTGAGCATCCCTGTGGCCAACAGCCTGCTGGGTTAGCCAGGGACCTGTCAGGGTGGGGCTGTGCCCGAGGGGACAGCTCAGAACCTTTGGTCAGGGCTGGCCCTGTACCTACCTCCCTGCGTGGCAGGCCCAGGGTTTCCTCTAGTAGGAGCCCAGGAGCAGGGAGCGGGCTCCCCCCACCACTCCCCCATCAGGGCTCCTCCACTCTGGAGAAGGCGGCCTGGTGGAATCAGCCCCTTCTTCCCGCCTGTCCGTCTCTCCATCCTCCCGCTTCCCCAAATGTGGACGCCCTCATTTGTTCTGTCTTTCCTGCCTCCGACCCTTTCACTCCCCTGTCCCAAACTTAGATCAGCAGGCAGCCCGAGAGCTAGAGGCTGGGCTAGAGTAGACGTGGAGCCGCCCACAGCGGGAAGCCGAGGCTGAGGGCCCTGGTCAAGGAGAGAGAGTACATCCACGTGCCAACTTCTGCAGTGTGTCAGGCACCTGGGCATCCGAGACAAACCGGGAGCAGACCGTCTCCCACTCGTTCCACTCCCAGAATCTGCTGAGCACCATCCTGTCAGGTGCCAGGAGGGGTGATGGGAAAGCAAAGCGTCCCAACCCCTCCAAGCCCACGGCCTGCAGAGCAGAGACGAGAAGCCTCGGTCAGGGCTGACGGCAGCTCTATATCCCTCAGGCATCAGGGGGCCTCGTGGAACAGGGACAATCACTTGGCAGGTGGGAAGGACCCGGCAGATGACAGTCCAAGTGGACGGACTGCAGGAAGAAAAACAGAGTGCCCAACACGGAACAAAACCCAGTGTCATTTGTCCCTAGCAGAGCATGGAGAGGGTGCTGCTGCTTTACTGTGAATGTCCGTGGACATGCCAGAGCAGCGTGGTGGGGGAGAAGGGTGCTGGGACCCTGAGGGGCCCACAGTCCGGAGAGCAGCCCCAGTCCAGGAGCGCCTGAAGAAGGGGGGAGAGGGGAAGGGAGGAGAGAAGGCAGGTCTGGCCCTCGTGGCACGCTTCCCCTTCCCCTTCCCCTTCCCCAGCCTGGGCACTGCTCTGCCTGCTGGAGGCTCCCAGATGAGTGGCAGCTGACCCTGGCCTTGGAGGGATGGCCTGGCACGCGGACCGGGGCAGGGCTAATCTGGGCTCTGTCTGCCCTGCTTTGCCCTGCTCTGCCCCGCAGGTCACGCCCTGCCCAGTCTCGGGCTTCATTTCTGAAAATGGCATTCGTCAGATGTTCAGGGTGTTTTTGCTTTAAAGCACTCGAGCCTGCTGGCATCAAGCTCCAGTGACGTTGGCTCCCTCAGACCAAGGGGAAACAGAAGCCCCGCAGGTGGGAGAGCTGGGATGGGGGAAGGGGAGCTGGGGCCGGTTGTTAATAGTTCCTTAGGAAAGGGAGCTTGGAATCATACTGTGGTAGAAAAGCTGTCTTAAATTAACCGCATAAACAGAGTTCTCATCTACAGAGGATTCAGGGAATACCCTGGAGGGAGGCTGCCCAGTTCCAGGCCTTGGCCTGAAAAAGGCCTGGAGGCTTTTCACTTTTGTGCTTCTGGGACCCCTGAGCTGCCATGTGAGGCCAGCTCCGCCCTGGAGAGGCCCAGCCTTCTGGAGTCCCCTGAGGAGCACCAGACCTTGACAGAAGCCTCTTGGCTAGCCTGGCCCAGCTCACAGGGCCATCCGTGGACCCAGGATGTCTCCAAGTGAGGGCTGATGCTCAAGTGCAAGCAGAGAGGGCGACCTGCTCTCTGCCCCAGAGAGACCCAACCGGCTGCATGTGTTTCTACATTCGACGTGGTGTCTGAGCCCCAACGTGGCCCTGGAGCCAGGTGCTAGGGACGATAACACTCCTGGTGCCCAGGAGAATATTCTACCTCACGTCCTCTGGGGGATCACGAGATATCTTAGAAAAAGTGCTAGATGTCCCACAATATGTGGCATGGAGACTTGACCTGTTTTATGTGGTTGTCTAAACGGAATGTCTATGGCCATGACAGCCTAAACAAGCCCGATCCCGTCTGATCTCGGAAGCTAAGCAGGGTCAAGCCTGGTTAGTACTTGGATGGGAGACCACCTAGGAAGACCAGGTGCAGTAGGCATAAAAAAAATAAGGGATTGTAAACTGACGAGGTTCTTGCAATCTGTGAGGTCAACCAAAGGTTGCCTCGCCTAAAAATAAATAAATAAAGGGGATGCCAAACCCTGGGAGAGGGGACAGCATCTATGTTATTAAAACGATGTCAATGTGATTTGATAAGCACTCTGATAAACAGAGCCTGGGGCCCTGGATCAGTGACCTGTCATGGGAAACCGATATCCCCCAACGTTTTATTGTAAAAATATCCAAACAAAAATTTTTTACAGCGAACACCCATGTCCCCACCCGAGATGCTGCAATGAACGTTCTGCCCTCTTTGCTTCACCCTGTCTCGTCATTTCGCCATCTTTCTCCATCCATGAATTCATTTCTTTCTTTTTTTGCTTTTTGGCTCCCTTTTAGTTAGGTTGCAAACATCAGTACACTTCGCCCCTACACACTTTAGCATGCACGTCATGAACAACGCTGAGTATCTGTTTCTAAGGACAACTTACCCACCGTGAAATGCACCAATGTCACGGCTACCACTGATGAGTTCTGATACGTGCTTCCACTTTGTGTACCTGACACCCCCACAGAATGCTGGAGGTGCTGAGGCCCACAGCGCTTGGCCATGCCCCCTTCACCTGAGCCAGATGCTGTCCCAGAAGGGGGTGGACTCGCTCAAGGACACAGACTGGCAGATGGATCGCACCTTCGTTTGTACCTGGAAATAGCCATACAGGTGCCAGGTCTGTCCCTCAGCCCTCTGGCTGCAACCCCCATGCGAACAGCAGACTGGGGACTGCAAGCACTGGTGCCTGGCCACTTGCTCTCAGGTGCTCCCTCCAGAGTGCGGCCTCTTCCCCTCTCGTCACACGGTTGTCGGCCGCATCCAGTGAGACCAGACTCATCTCACGACGGTTCTGAGTCTGCCGGGGGCACAGGCCCCACCTTAATTCCTGTGGTACCTCCTGCCCCGCCTCCTTCCCACAGGCCCCAGACCTAGCTCAGGTTCCTGAATTTGGTGCTTCTCAATCAAAGGGGCTACACTGAATGAGTGAATGAACGAACGAACAAATGAATGAACAACGGAGGAAACAGTCAATGCCGGGTGCTGGATTTCACTAGTCCGGATGGAATTCTGGGCTTCATCTGCCCAACTCTCTCCAGCTCTGCCTTGGTGCCCGTGAGCTCCTGAGTCCGGATGGAATTCTGGGCTTCATCTGCCCAACTCCAGCTCTGCCTCGGTGCCTGTGAGCTCCTGGGTCCCACGATGGCCGAAGGCCCCGTGTTCTGTGGCTTTCTTACCTCTGCCTCCAGCTGGAGTGGCCAGACCTCAGACCGGTGCCCCGTGTAGGAGAAGTGGCTGCAGCAGTTCCAGATGTCACATCTTTGCATCTCACAGTCCAGAAGGAAAGAGCTTCTCACCTCCCCCCACCAACAAATGCCCAGAGACGGAGACGTTTGGAAGAAGATTCGGAGTCTGGAAATGTTTAACTGACCTGGATAAGGAAGAGGAGGAATCGCCATGCTAGCACCCCCACCCGTCTCCATGGCTTTTATCCAGTTTCCCACAATGCTGGCTTTGTAATTGATAAATAGTTACTATCAGGTTAGTAAATAAAAGCTACAGCCAACTCCCAGATTCAGCCTCAGGCCACCCCCGTGTTCTCAGCCATTTCTTCCCAAGTATCTTTTTTTAGTCCCTAGAGCAAGAAGTCCCAGAATCGGTCGGGCGTGTGCGCCCTCCCTGCAATGTGTCCTTGTGTGCAAGTCCACATCTGCCTCTGATGTCCTTGTTGCTCCAAGCACCAGGCATCCTGCCAGGACTGCAGGTGTCTCTTAGAACAGCTCACTGGAACCCCACGTGCAGGGTTATGAGCCCACCGGGATCCCACCCTGGCTGGGAGGAGGCCTCACGCTGCGAGGCTTAGCCGACCAGGGCCCACCTGGGAACATGCTGCTGCAGCATGGGGACAGGAACGGAGGCCAGTGGCAGCCAAAGTCCTCTCTAAGATGGCTCTCTGAGCTCCTGCAGCCCTGTCCCCTGGGGCAGCACCTCCGGGAGGAGGGAGTGGGAGGGCCTCCACGCCACAGCCAGTGTGGCTCACCCAAACGGGCCTGTGAAGCCCCTGGGCCCCACGCCCCATCTCCTGAACTGGCTTCCCTCCTCCCAGCCCCCGGCTGCCAGACACCTGTCTGTGTATCAAGGGCGAGTATGGCCACTGTTCACGCTGGTTTTCTCTCTCTGATTTGTTGGCCCCTGTACGATCTGGTGGACTCACTCACAATCATGTTTGGGGGAAAAGAGTCACGTTTCTCCTCCCACCAGAATCGCCCCAGCGGGGCCCACACAGCTCCAGAAACGCCCAGGAGAAAGGGGACCTGTAGGCGGGAGGCTGGCTAAGGGTGGGCTAAGAGGGTCCCCCGGAGCAGCAAACTCCCAGCCACTGGGGCAGCCTCTGTGCCCATCACCTATGCAGGGGGAAGGCCGGGCCTGAGGTGGCAGGCAGAGCCGCCACCCACAGGAAGCCATGGGAAGGGCTCTCAGCCTCGTCCGGTTCAGAACCCTGGGACGAGCTCCCATCTGCACCAGGCCCCACTCAGCTCCAGAGGGCAGGGCAGAGGAGGCAGAGCTGACTAAGGAATGCACAGATGGATACATCATCGCGAAGGGCTAGACCGGAAAAACCCCAGCTTTCAGGACGCCAGGGAGCCTGCCGTGACTAGGCTAGGCAGGCCACCTAAGCTGCGCCCTTGGCCTCTACGGCCCCCACCCACGTCCAGCCCCCGTGATCCCGTCTGCACGGCAACCCTCATCCCACACATTAGCGCGAAGCACCTCCCAGGCATTTCCCGTAAGCCCCAGCCAGGGCGGGGAGCATGCCCCGCTTTACAGATGGAGAAATAGAGGCTAGGAGCAGGGGAACTGACTGCGCGGCACAGACCCAGATCTGGCCACCGGCCCCAAAACGGTGCCAGCTTCGCTGCTGCAGTAAATGAGGCGGAAGCACTTACCCCCGTTCCCGGCTCAGGAAGAGGCTTTTAGCGGGGCCTCTGGAAAGCCTCCCTTATCGATTCATTCTCAAAGCTGCCGATCCATCAGACACAAATTTTCCACTCCTTTCCCTGGCCCGCACATCGACCCAAGCTCATTCCCAAATGGCCCTGGTTCTTTTTGCTTTCCCATTAGCTTCAGGCCTGGACCCTGTCAGCGTGTTTCTTGTGGCCGCTGCAGCAGATGACCACAAACTGGGGGCTTCAGACAACACACATGCTTCTCCAACAGAGCCGGCTCCCTTGGAGGCTGGGGACACCCTGCCCCAGGCCTGTGTTCAGCTCCCAGCAGCTGCCCAGGTCTTTGGCTTGAAGGAGCATAGCTCGACCCCGGTCCCCATTTTCACACGGCCTTCCCTTTGCGTGCCCGTGTCTACCAAGGCTAAGATGCAGTTATGTGAAGTCCAATATGGTAGTCACCAGCCACATGCGGCTGCTGAGTGCTTGAAAGGTGGCTGGTTCGACTGAACTGAGTGTTTGATTTCACTGAATTAACTGAAATGCCAATAGCCACACAGGGCTGGACCTGTACTGGACAGGCCCGCTGGTGGAGCTACTCGGGGCCTGGTGGCAGCTGGTACACCCCTGGCAGGCTGACCCGGCCACGCCCCGCCCTTGCTCAAAGCCCTCAGTGGTTCCCCAATGCACTCAGGGAAAGGCCAGCCTCTCTGCGGTGGCCGGCAAGGCCCTGACCCGTCTCCTCCCACACTCCTCTGCCCTGGCTCCCACCACCCACCACACTGGCTGGCCGTCCTGCTGCTCTCGGCCCTGCCAGGCACACTGTGGCCCCATGGCCATCGGCACTCTTGCCCAGATCCCAACCTGGCTCTCTCGCCATCTGCTCAGCCCCAACTCCCTAGCCCGCTGCTTGTTCCACAGCACTGAGCCTCTGACGACACGTACTTGATATAACCTACGCCCTTACTGCATACGTTGTCGTCCCCTGAGGGATTTCTGCCAGCTGTGGCCGTGGCTACGCGGGTGCATCATAGACTGAATGAATGACCCCTCCAACCACCCACTGGACAGCGCCGTCTTCCCTGCTGCACCTGATAGGCCAGCGGGCGGGCCCACGGCAGCTGGGCCAATCAGAGCAGAGCCGCATTCCAACCGGCAGCAGCACAGAGTGGCCCAGCTGTCTGTTCCTGTGCTGTGTGTACAGGCTGCATCCCCAGTGCCCCATCTGTTCCGAGGATGCCTCAAATCCATGTAATAAATCCTGAGGACCAAGCCTGGCATAGTAACACTTGCTCCCTATTACTGTTTGGTGAGAGGGCTGGGGCCACAACGGCGCTGGCTCGGCACATGTGTCTGTCCAAGGCCACCCTGTGCCAGGTAGCATGTGAGGCACCGGGGCAGGGATGAAGACACACTCGGCTCTGCCCATGCAGAGGCCACTGGGCTGGGCCGTCACGACCCTCGGTGACCGCCGGGCCTCATGGCCCCATGACCAGACGGTCAGATTCCGGTTGGCACCAGATGCAGCAGGACCCTGTGCTGACGGGGGTCCTGCTCTGACCTGGAAGGCCAGCTCCGGCCACGGTGAGGAGCTGGGTCTGTGCAGGTGGCCCTGCTGGGCGTCCCGCCACCACCCTGTAGGATGGACGCCCCCCCCCGAAGCCCTGACGCCTGGCCTGGGGAGGCACTGGGGACATGACAGGATGTACCCTTCTCTTGTAACTGGTTTTCCCGCAGATGGGCCAGTGCAGCCGTCTGCTGCTTCGCCAGTGGTGGCTGGTGGGGGCGGGGGCGGGGAGCAGGGGACCGGGATGCAGAGATAAAGGAACAAACAAGCAGTTCTTCACAGCGGTCTCTCCACCTACAACTCTGCATCTGTGTGGACCCTTCTGTTCTGATGGCAAACTGGACTTTGGGGGTGAGTTGTGCTGGGGTGGAGAGGAGGGGTGTGCCAGGGGTCTTATAACCCCCAAATACCTGGATAGAATCCAGCTCTGGACACCGGCCGACCCCACCCACCCATCTCACCCCTCCTCCAGCAGCCCATTCTGCAATCTTTCGCCTGAGGACTGACTCAGGACAAAGCGAGGACAACCATCGCTGAAAATCAATAGCCGAGTGGCTGCAGATGCAGTCTGCAACAACCTGGACGTTTCGGGAACGTCGATCAAGTTATTTTCAATGGCATCAAAGGAAAGAAATTTTTCTGGAAGATTCATGAAATGAACCAAATGTCACTTTTCTGGAAGATTCATGAAATGAACCCTGCAAGGCTGTCCCCGATGTGGGCAGAGGGCCCTGGGGACACAAGACAGCAGATGACCCATGACGGCTGCTGTCCTCCTGTCTCATTCACTGCTCCACTCCCAGTGCCTAGAACAGGGCTTGGCCCTCGGGAGGTGTTCATGTGCATTTGCTGAATGAAGAAGTGAGGAGCCTGCTGTACAGGACCCCAAACAAAATGCCATCACATGCCCTCTGCTGCGAGGGCTCATTATTCCCAGCCTACAAAGTGTCTGAGGCCCAGGGCACTTAGCTGCCAGAGCTGAGACTGGCACCCAGAACCTCTGTCTGCGAACAAACCCATCCTCATAAGCTACAGCGTGGAGGAGCCTGAGGCCATCACGCTCAGCAGGATAAGCTGGGTGACTCCACTAACACGAGGTCCCTGGAGCAGTGGAATTTAGAGACAGAAAGCAGAATGGGGAGTTTGTGTGTCATGGGGGCAGAGGTCCAGTCTGGGGAGATGAAGAAGTCCTGGGGACAGAAGGCGGTGCTGGTCCCAGGACCACATGAACGTACTGCATGCCGCTGAGCTATACACTTAGAAACGGTAAGTTTCACGTCACGCGTGCTGTCCCTCACACACAATCGTCTTGTGTCCACCTGGCCCTCGGCCTCATGGCATCTCTGAGGTGAGGCTCATCCACCCCATGGGAGGTGGCTGTGCACGAGGGTCAGGCTTCCTGGAGGCCACACAGAAGGGCCTCCTAGCAACGGTGGGGCACGCCCAGCTGTCTACCTGCACTGTCGCCTGTCCCCCTTCTCAGTGGACGGGGCCCTGCCAGCAACCCCGGGCTGACCTGCCTTCCCTGGCCTGGGGTCCAGGTTTGCTCCCAGAAGAGGGCATGACGGGGTCACCCTTGCTGCCCCTCCAGGCTACCTCCATCTCCGCAGGCCAGGAGGGCACTGTGCTGGGCCACTCGCAGCCATGGGGATGGCAGGGCTCTAGTCAGAGGCTCAGTCCCTTGGACAGTGGTGGCCCCCGGACAGCTCCTAGTTCTTTAGGCCGTCCCCTCCTGCAGGCCAAGAGATCCAGGCAAGTGCCTGGCTACGCCGGAGGCTCCAGGGGCATCAGGACAGGTACACGGCATGAGAGGCGGCTTGTGCAGGAGCATAGGGCTGTATGGCCTCACTTGAAATTCCAGGTTTTAACATCTGGCCATCAATTCCACGGTGCTATTTCTTTTGAGAATCTTGCAAGACGTTATTTTGTTAACCAGCACTCAGGTACGGTCGCTGCACGTTTTCAGTGGAGACACTTCTGCAGCGGAAGGTGAGGCTGTGAGAGGGAGCATCTGTCTGAGATCTTGCTCTCTGGCATATATCATCAGTTCGGCTCAAAAAAACTCATAAAAAAAATGTTTTAAGAGAAAGCTGAGGATATACGCAACAACAAATCACCCACTTGGTAGCCTCGTGCTCAGCAGTGAGCGGGCACCCGTATTCGCAGGACGAAGGAAAGCTGACAGACTTGGTCCCCTCCTCCCTCTCGCTACAGGTGCGTGCAGTGGACAGCTGGCCAGCAGGAGGCGGCGCACACCCGGGGTCCCCGGAGAAGTGCATCCCCAGGCAGACGCCGCTCCGGTGGGCTCCCCGGCTGTAGGGGATGGAGGACAAGCCCCTGATCGGTGTGAAACACCTGGGAAGAAACGAAGGTGCCAGAGCACACTCTGAAGACATGTAAGATGCTGAAAGGCAGTGACTCCGGAATAAAACGTAAGGCGGGAAGACGGAGTCGGAGAGGGGCTCTGACAGGGCTCAGCAGCCCCCGACGGGCTTGCTGGCGGGGCGGTTTTATCACACGACATCCCACGAGGCTGGGGTTCATCAGAAGTCTAACCAGTGTGCGAAGCTGCAGGATGGGGGGCTGTGGGCGGGCGTCCTCCAGGCTGGACACCTCTGAGCACCGAGCCGTTGCCCTCGCAGTGGAAACCACCCCAGGCCGGCCAGGGAAGGGCCGCCAACGCCACGTCCTTGGAGCGACAGAGGACAACTCGCGAGGCCGAGGCTGAGGCTGCCGGACGCCTGGGCGAGGCCTCTTCGCGACCAGATGCGGTCTGTGTGCCCTGAAGAGCCGGCGTGAGGCTGCAGGCCCAGAGCCAGCGCGAGTGCGGACGTTCGGGGGGGGGCCACAAGAGACCTCTGGTCTGCACAGACGACGCCCAAGGGCCCACCGTGCGCCCACAGCCACGGACGTGGAGGCCGAAGGCATGTCCCCTCGCTCTCCTGGCCGGCGCCGGGGGCTCTGCTCCAACGTGACAGACCAGCTTTTAGCCAACTTGCCCGCCGAGACCTTCAGTGCTCAGAAACCAGCCCCTCTGGATGACTTATGGGTCACTGTAATTGAGCATTTGTGAAGAGCCGGTCAGGTGCCAGACGCCGTCCCTGACACGCGGTGCCGAACCCTGTCACCGGCTCCGCCCGGTGTGACGCCAACACCTAAGACAGGCTGCAGGGGCAGCGACGTTATCGGGACCCTTCGCTCCCTCGGAGGCAGGCTTTCCGATAGTTTTAGGGTTAAAACAGAGCGAGGGAAGACGTTACGATCGGACGCGTAGCCAGTGACCTGAGAGTCCCCACTGCACTTCCGATGGCCACACCTGGATTCTCCTTTTGTAGGTGAATATGAGCAATTAAAAACACCAATGGCCACAAACCACCTGTCACACAGGACAGAGAGAGGCTACTTTAGTTTACATTTTAATTCAGGAAACAGAAGCATTACATTTTATCACAGACGTTTCATGGGAAAAGCAATACAAAAACATATCACTGGGTGACCTCTATTCTATAATTATTTAGAATCCGCTAAAGGACTTTACTTGAATGTGGCTGTGATGGAAAGCCATCTCAAAACAACCTAGTTCTTTCTTAATTGAGCACACAAATTTTAGGATCGAAATAACCTTAATTACGATTTACATTTATTTGTGACTTAAAGTAACATTTGCCACAATCATTTAAATGTTTAAGAATCCAAGGAGGAGGAAAATAGCGGTCACTTCTCGTTAATTCATTCAGAGCATTTAAGAACCCGGCAACAGTCAACATGAAAAGTCGTCAAACTTGCGGCATTAAATTAAATTGTTACACAAAAAAACAACGCATGGGTTCTGAGATTCTAACCACGCTTAGGCTCCGCGTCGCTAACCCGCCTGCCGACCCCCGGGGCGCCATCATGTCCTTCCCGTGGAGATGCTGTGGGGAACCGCTCGGCGCCCTGCAGCCCGGGCCTCGGTCACTGTCCCATCGCTACTGCCACTTCCCCTCCGAGCCCGGACACTCACTGTGGGGCACTGCTCCTTCTGACAACTGTCAAGGAAGCCTCGCTGTCCCAATTTTTACTTTGCAGAGTCGAGGAGCCACATACGCTTCGCCTTGTCTGATTACAGAATATACGTTTGCTTTTAAGCCACACTTTTAAAAGCATCCTTGGAGCAGCATCTCCGTGGCTTCAGGTCTGAGGAACTCTGGTGGGGTGAGAGCCTGAAGACTCTGCAGGGTACTCGCCACCTCAGTCGCTCTGCCCGCGGGACAGTGACTCGCCCAAGGCCCAGCACTCCATCGAAAGAGGCAACGGGCGGACAGAGCCCCACGGCCCAGCCTCTCGGACTCCCCGCTGCAGGGCTTGGGGGGTCTGCTTCGGAAGGGCTCTAGGTTCTGACGGTGACCGTCCTGGCCCACCCATTTGAGTGGGTTTCTGTCCCTGGACATCTCGAGAGGCTTGCCCCCGGGAGCCCTGAGGAGCTCAGCAGGTAGATTCAGAAAGCAGCAGGAAGGGCGGTGGTCGGAGAGTCTCCTGTACGATGTAAATACTGTGTGGGTCCCCAGCCACCAGCGGAAGGCAGCGTCCATCTGTTCAAGGGCCCGTGAACACACTGCCTGGATGCCAGGCCAACACCCTGGGACGAGTGACCCCGAGCTCTCCGAGTGCGGTTCAGGGCACCCTGCGTCTGGAAGGGCCCGATCCACAGCCCCTGCGTGGCTGCTGTCGTCCCAGAGGCTACGAATCCATCGCACTCTCGTGACCCCTCTCTCCGTCACGGGTAGTGACACGTAACAAGCCACACGACATATCTGTAACAGTTTGTGCTAATGCAGTGATCCCTCGCGTACACATGTCCACCACCAACCACACTGCAGTTCGGTTTCCTGAGAAACAAATGTGCTCTCGAAGGACGGGCCGCCTGTCTGTCGCTGTCACTACCGAAAGTCTCTGTCGGAATCCCAGGAATGGGGGTGCAAAGACGAGAACTGACACCACTGAAAGGTGCCATTTGTTCCCGACGTCACGTCGTCCAGGGCAAAGACGAGCTTTCAACGCCCTTAAAGTCAGGGTGTGGATTTGCCGGGGAGAGAGGAGGAACGGACTCTGCCTGCCTCCCAGGCCCACACGGACCAGGGGCCTGTCTGGGTCCCCAACCCTGCTGGTTGCCGCCTCCTCCCTCGTCCCTCTGCAGACGCAGTGTCGCACACACTGGTGACAGGCTGAGAGTCTGTGTTTCGCAGCAGCCGTGGAGCAGATGACACGATGTTATCTTCATGAAACCCCGGTGACGCTGTGTGGTGCGGGGACCGCTCTCTCCAGGGACCTTGGTCGGCAGAATCCCAGGCTCACAGGCCGCAGAGCGAGCCTGACCCAGCGCAGGGTCCTCTAGGAAAGCTGGCGTTGGGCAGGCAGCGTGCGGCCCTTGGACACGGCTGGCGAGGTTCTCACGCTCGCCCTGCCTCCCATGGCCCCTGAAGGCCTTGGCGGGGACGAGCGGGCTCCGTCCATTTCCACGCCCCACTGCCTCGTTCGGGAATCAAGGCTGTTGGCCGAGTGGCTTTTGGTTAACTCCACGTATCTCGTCCATCCTCAGAGGGCACACTTACGGATGTGGCCTGGCTGTGACGCAGGTGTACCCTCCCGCAGGCGGTGACCCCCCCAACCCCATGCTCCACACAGCTCCACGACGCAAGACGAACAGCCTCACTTCATGACCACAAGACCCTACTGCAAACGATGCTGACTTTAAAAAAATTTAACGGAGGGACACAAGCCAGGAGCAAGTTGTTTGGGGGAGCTCTGGGACCCCGCTGGAGCAAAGGGCACCGAGGCCCTAACAGAGGGGCTGCCCTGGCTTGCAGGTCTGCACGTGCGAGCGGGTGGGGCAGCTGCATTCCATCAGGGTGAGGCCCGGGACCTCCAACGTCACGCTCGCTGGTCACGTGAGGGCCCGGCGACACCGCAGACAGCTTCCAAATCCCTCCCACCAGCGGAGTCAAATTTGTCAAGTAAAATTTTATTTATGTTTTTATATTGCTCAATTTCAAACTGTCGTGATTAAAAAGCACACAGGCACACACTGCTCGGGCTTTATTTAACATCGCTTCGGTGACCAAGAGCCCGCCTGGGAGTCTCCATCAGGACAGAGCGCATGGCCGCGGTACGGCAGGACCCACTTCGTCCCGCCCGCCGTGCACGGACGGGAGCCATGGGCCGTAGAGAAGGTGCGGCTCGGTCGCGTACAGGTCGCGGGTCCACCATGAAACGCACCCCTGGGACGGCCGCTCCTCGGGGGCCCCTAACTGCTGTTCTTCTTTTGTTTCGGTCTAAGCTTGTTCCAAATCCTCTCCAGGGCCACTTTTCCCATGAAGAAGGTGATGGCAAAATTGCGCTTGTACCAGTCTCTACGGAGGAACAGGACAAGCACGTGGGAGCCACAGCCGGCATCTGGGGACCAGCGCCAGTGTCCGGGGCGAGCGCCCGGCCAGAGGCCCCCCGCCCGCTCCTCCACCTCTCCTGCAGCCTCCTCCCTTTCCGGCTCAGGAAGGCGACACCGTCCATACAGGCCTTCCTGCCCCCCACCTGGATTCCTCAGGCTGGGAATGAGGCACGGTGCACCCCAACACCCCCGTTTTCCCAGTCCTGGAGGCCACTGCAGTCCTCCGCTGGTTTTGGCCGGAAGACTCCAAAAGAGCCCTCAGCGGCCTGGGTCCCAGCGGCATTGTCGGAGAAACGACTGCTGAGCGACGGGGGCAGGACTAGCAGGCTCTGGGGGAGCCCGGGGGGCCATGCTGGCCTTGGCACCTTATCTGCACGAGGAGCACACGACAAAAGTACTCCACCGTGAGAAGCTAATTTACCGCAAGTGCCAACACTGTAAAGCTCCACGTCCTCTTTTTCTAGATGGTCTGAGCTTTTGTGGAATTTGTCTCTCTAAGGAGGTAATTCCACAGCTTCTCACACGAATACTGTGACGGAGTTCACACGGTCACAGGCTTGCTGTCCGAGTTACTTACAGAACGTGCCAAAACCTGCAAATTCACCCACTGTCTGCGGCTGAACGGGCGAAGCTGGGGACATGTCCAGAGGAACACACACGTTCCAGGCTCAGAGCTAAGCCCTCGGAAGCCGCGATGCCCAGTTCCAGCGCTTTTCAGCCACGAGCTAAGGCGGGAACGTGGAATCCTACTGCAGACTGGTCAGGGCTGACCGCCGGTCCGTGTAAGAGGAGTGACTGAGGGCTCGGCGAGGCACGGCGGAGGTGCAAACGCTCGCTTTCTGGAGCCTCGCACAGCTAGACAGAAGCCCCCTCCGCCTGAGAACGAGCTCTGCATTTCTGCCCACTTGGGTGGTGCCGTAAGTGGGAAGCGGTGCCCTAGACAAATAAGAAAGGCTCCCAGAAAAAACAAAAGTAGTAGCCCTTCGAGATAAAGTTCCTCCATTAAGGAAAAGCCAGATTCCGCACCACCCATATGGCAACGCGACCTGATAGGTGGGGAAAGGCAAACTGAGCCTACCGTTTCCGCAGGGAAGGCGGGATGGGAGGCGGCGGGACGGGAGGCGGTGGGGCACAGGGTGGGGAGGGGGCTGCACTAAGCCTGACTTAGGCGAGGCTGGTTCTCTCTGCTCCGAGCGCCAACTGCCATGCAGCACACATCGGCCTATGGGGGAGACGCATGGTGCAAATGCGCCGTGTCCCCATCGGGAACCCACGGTCCAGAGAAACGGAATTAACGCTGGCCTGACCAAATGACTTAACCAGCTCAGAGTCCCACGTGGCCGCACTAGCGCCAGTGCTGTCTCCGGAGCCACCCAGCCTCAGCCACCACCGCCCATCTCTAGACCTGGCCTCGCCTGCCCGACGCGACGCTGTCGCTGTTGTATTTTAAAGCAAATACACAATATCCTGCTATTTCACCTGGAAATACGCACCATTATGTGTCGCTGAAACCTTTTTTAAAAACACATACCCAGAATACCATCACTGCATCTGATAAAATAACTTATCAATACAACCTAATATACAGGCACTGTTGAATTTCCTGACTGTCAGAAATATCTTTTTACAAGTGGTTTCATCCTGATCAGAACCCAGACGTGGCCCACACACTGCAGTGAAGTCTCCTGTAACCTACAGTAGTTCCTCTCCCCCGCTTTTTAAAATTCTAGTTACTTGCTGAAACTGGATCGTTTGTCCTGCAGAATTCCCAACACTCTGGGGTTGTATCTTCAGGCTCCTGTTTCGAACAGGGCCTTCTAGAAGCCCTCCCACGACACGCACCCTTCCAGCTTCCTCCTGGGGGAGGGCACTGGGTAGGGAGGCCCGACGAGGCCCGACTCCCCGTTTCCCCCGTTTCGGTGAGAATGAGCTTCCTCCTGGGGGAGGGCACTGGGTAGGGAGGTCCGACGAGGCCCGACTCCCCGTTTCGGTGAGAACGGCTCTGGGCGGTGCGCATACTTCGTCCCACCTCAGAGGCAAGGGGCAGCCGCCCCACCTGGGCGTGAACATGCACCGGGCTCAGGTGCAACCAGCCTGACCCATCCACGCTAAGGGGCCGTCAGCTTTCCCGCCCAGGGGTTCTAGCAGCCGTGGTGCATGATCGCTGCCAAGCCCATTACTTCCTTCGGAAGAAGCTAATTCTCTAACTGCCTCCCTCCTGCGTCAGCCGCCATCTGTCTCCTACAAGCCCGGCTGGCCCAAGCAGTCAGGACGTGACAGGCAGGATCTCTGGGGTCTCCTCTGTTCACCGAGTCTCAGAATGACTAGGTGGCTGCCTAGCAACCTCTAGAGCTGACCCAGTCAGTATCGTTATGATCGCAAAGATGTTTGTTATTGGATATATTTTTAATCCACTGAGTCATTTTCCTGCGCAGCTGAAACGGCGTCACCTCTGGCCCATGGGAAGCCTCCTGCTGGCCCCGAGCCGCTTTCACGTGACCCTGCTGGTCTCCGAGCCTCCCTGGTCTCAGACACAAGCAGCCACCTCAGCGTATGCTGCTCCTGGCCCAGGCCCTTCTCCA